CATTTTCATTGTAAACGCAGCAGCGTTCAGACCGTCCGGCTGTGCGTCATTTTTTGGACGGCTGCCACGGACTAATGCAGACGTCCCACCGGGAGACCAGAGAAGAACTAGACTTTGATTCACCAGATTGTGTTAAATAGTCCAGCTGTTGCGATTTGAAAGATAGTTACCTCCGAAGTGAAATAGAAATGAACTTGGCATTTATGCCTCCAACCATTTTTATACTGTTTGGCAATCAGCTTTTCAGAGGTAGCATTTTATAAAATAACTCTCACCGCTTAAAAGTTTCATTCACTGTAATGTTCAAAATGTCCCACCTTTATATTATCAGTAAAATTAAGCTTGAGTGATATGCAGAATTTGCATGAAATAAGCATTTCCCCCTTCATTTCGTGAGCTTTGATTGTATTCAATTGAGCTCAGAACCACATCTATTAGGGCTCTTTGGGGCATTAGTTAATTTGAATTGCAGCCGAAATGTTAGCTAGAATGTTGTTGAATATAATTGGAACGTGGAAAGTTGATTTTTGAAAGGAATTTCATTGAATGCAAACAATGATGTGCTTTTTGAAAATTAGAATGCTGTTCCTTTGTCTCTTGTAACACAGTCTGAGAAATCACCGAGTCCCTTTATGAAAGTTCAGTTTTGGCAACGCTGTTTACAGTCGTTCAGGTTTTTGTGGTACCAGTGTGGTTTGGAGTCAGGTCTTTTCCTCTGACTAGCAAGTGGCCCCCACATGCCCGGGCCCCACATTCTGGCTCTCTTGTAGCTGGGGAACAGTAGCTGCTTTCTAAAAGGGCACCCGAGCTGTGTGCACTCCGGCATCGGCTCCGTGGAGCGGCACAGATTGCTACATTGTCTCTGAGCTTTTATTTTGCTTTTCAGTTTTTCTTTTTGTCTTGAAATAGCTCTTGAGCAAACCATCTAAAATGACCCGTGAAAATATTTTGAATGGATCATAAATGACTACCAGTATGTCGCGGTAAGAAAAAGAATACTGGGCCAGGAAATCCAGATTCTAGGATTTTAATCCTGTGTCTGCTAGTAACAAGTTACGCGCCCTTGAACAAATCACTTAACGCACTATTCTTTGGTGTCCTCGTCGAACAAATGAAAAGGTTGGACTAGTTCACGTCAGTGATGCCTTTCAGCCTGAACGCCACAGGATTTTAGTCTTACTTTAGAGCACCCATAAAATGGAAGTTTTACATTTGGCGATTTTGTAGCATACAGGAGAAAGGCTGCCATACTTTTCATGAGTACTTAGTTTTAATTCCTTTTTTGTGGTCCTTGCCCTTGGATGAAGAATTAAAGCAGACAAAGTGAGCAGAATAATAGTATACTGCAATTCCTATCGGATTGTTGCCTTTGAGCCCTTGAGCCTTTCCCTTAGGGGAGAAGCTTTTTTTTTTTTTTACGTTTACTTACTTATTTTGAGAGAGCGCGGGAGTGTGTGTGCATGTGCCTGTGAGAGGGACAGAGAGAGACAGAGAGAGAACCCCAAGCAGGTTCCATGCCCAACACAGAGCTCCACGTGGAGCTTGATCTCATGACCGTGAGATCATGACCTGAACCCAAATCAAGAGTCAGAGGCTTAACTGACTGAGCCACCCAGATGCCCCTATCTTAGGGGAGGAGCTTTGACTTGCTAGAACTTGCCATTGTGGCTGCCTAGAGCAAGAGCCTGGTTTCTTGGCACGGTCACTGATGACAATCTGGCCCTTCCCATGATGGGGATGGAGGCACAATGAGGCTGCAGAAGGTCCCTCGTTCCAGAAGGGGTCCTGGGAAGCGCCCCATGGGAACCTGGAATAGACCTAATGTGTCAAACCCGGAGGAGGTACCAGTCACAAAGGGAAAGGAGGCAAAGGATAGTTTGAAGGGATGGACTCGGAAAGAGGCATCTGAAAACAGGGATTCAGAGAGAAAGGAATCAGTAAACATGCCAAAATTAGCCTGTGGCGTTATTGTCCAGTTTCTGAGAGAAGACACCTTTGGTAAGCGGCATGGCACCGTGGAAGAAGCAGGAAAGGAGAGAGCTCCTGATTCTTGCACTGCCTCTGCCGTTGATGAACCATATGATTGTAGGCCAGGTTCTCTCCTCCAAAACTCATTGTTCTCATCTGTTAAAGGACCAGTGGGACTCGATGATTGCCTGCCGTAGCCCCTTTTGGCCTGAACCCATTGGGATTCCCAGTCAGTGGTCATTATCCGTGAGAAATCAGTTACTCTGACCCTCAGTGCGTGCATTCAGAGAAACTGCCCACGGTGATAACCAACGGAGTTCTCTCGTTGTAGCCTACGGGTGACTTAATAATGAATCAATCTGTAGTTGAGGCACTAAGACAATTCCGGGCCAATTTCATCCCGACCACTCAAGGTTTCTGAGTTTTCGATTCAGTCGACATCCCCTTGTTGCTCTTGTGGAAGCCTGAGAGCATTTCCTGGAAGTTTTCACCTCCAGCCGATGCGAGAAGCTTTCTTTAGGGTGTGTTCATCACCCCTTCACCTGCAGACACACACGGGCGTGAAAACATCCACGGTAGTTCTCCGAAAGTGCCGAAGGTCAGTACGGGTTGACGGAAGCTGCTCACTTAGGAGGAGGCGGAGCTTCATGCCTCGAGCAGACCGGCTGGCTCACGTAGCAGTGGGCTCAGACCCAACATGGCAGAGCCAGACCGGTGACCGGCCTGCGGACTGTTGTGGCTTTTGGGCCAAAACAGCCGAGCCAGGCTGGAGCTTCATTTCCTAGGATTCCCGTGCCCGTTTGTTTCCAGGTTAGCGTGGGCCACAAGACAAATTCGCGTGAGCTTTAGAAGGCAGAAGTGACACCGGTGTCATTTCTGTTCTGTTTTGAAGGCTCTGAAGGTCCGCGGAGGGCAGACGCCGTGACGGTCCATGCGCAGTGTCCCCTAGTTAGCACGTGGTGGCAGCTGGCCCACGGTTTTCCCAGAGGCCCCCAGCTCCTCCTCCAGCTTTTCCAACTTTTGGACCAGGTCCATGTGTGGTTCCTGCAGGTCGTCTACGTCGTGGGGTTTGGAGACTGCGAAAGAGACAGAGCGGCGGTTTGTCCTCAGTCTCTTGTCAATTTTCACCCATGTTCCTTTTCAGCTGCCAGAACCGCTGACTTCATTCAGGTCCAGCGTCGGACGCAGAGGCCACAGACTTACCCAGACAGCCTCGCTCTCTCCCTTGCCTGAAGCCTCATTCCAGTCGTGAATCTCGTAGGTCTCTCGCAGTGGTTCCGCTCCCGTGACCGTGCCCTAGTGCACACAGTCTTTCAGGCGTTGTCTGGGTCAGAGAAGGTCAAACCGGGTACCGCTGGGGGAACTGTATCCCCTGTTGATTCCCGAAGCACAGCAGCAGATGTCCTAAGAGGCGGATCTGTGGTCCAGGTTGATGGAAGGTGTCCTGGCGTTTTCTGATGACAAGAGTGTTGTCAAACTGAGGCCAAAACAAAGGGATCTGTCCTCGCCGCGGCGTGGCTTTCCTCTGTCTCCCGGTCATCTCTGTGCGCTCGCCACTGCCACAGAAGACCGAGTCGTGTGTTAGTCACCGTCGATGGTGGCCAAGTCATGCAGTGTAACCGAAAGGCCAGGCGGAGCGGTTTTCAAGCATCAGGACAGATTTCACAGTACTGGGCAGAAGGCGGGAAGACCGCGGTCGTCGGGTTTCAGGTCGTGGTACCTGTGGCCGGAGCAGACAGGCTGCCTTTTCTCAGTAGTCAGGCGTTTGTTCTGATGCTTTCTTGCGTGAGAGAGACCTCCAGACCTGGCCACGCCAGAGCGTGGGCTTCTGAGCCCCTCACATCTCGTTAGTATTCACTCGTTTATTCGTGCCGCCCGTGGGCCCACGCTAGGTGCCGGGTGGAGGTGAACAAAGCCGAGGGTCCCTGTTTCGTGCACGCCTCCCTCTTACTTGAAGAGACAGACGCATCACACAGCACTCATTGTATCGTGACTGCGGTGAGTTCCACCGGCGAGGAGTCGTAGGGGGTGAGGGAGTGTCTGGATGGCTCCGGGGCTCAGGGAGTCGTAGCGGCACCAACTCCCGCGAAGGGCTGGTCGAGCAGTGGACTCACCAGAGGCGGGACAGGGGTGTGCTGGCTCGAGCTTCGCATCGTAGCCTTTGCCACGAAGGCCAGTGAAGTCTGAAGAGCCCCTGTCCCGCCTTCCTGACACGTGGCAGGAAAAAGACACAGAAGACGTCCCTGTTTTCACAAGGAGATTGTCACTCACGCAGCTTGAGAAGCAGTAGCTTCGTGCCTTAGAATAAATAGAAGGGAAGAGAGGAAGCTTCTGTGGGGAACGAAGGCACCTCTGAAATTCATTAAGAAATTTCCCCAGAAACAGGGTTCTCCTTTAGGGAAAAAGTTGATGGTCACTTAGCATTTTAGCTTATTCTCTGGATTCTTCCACCGGCCCTTGTTCCTCCCTTGCCCCTCCCCAGGTCTCACCAGATTTCTTCTGGTCACTAATGGCAGCAGCAGGCACGTCTCTCAGCTGCCCATCCGGGATGGGGTTGCTTCCTTTGCTCAGCGGGGTGGTCTCCTCAGAGCTGATCTGTAGCTAGTTGTTCCCAGGGACAGGATGGGGGGGGGTGTCACTGGCTCCTTCTGGCTAAGAGAAGGTGGGACAGGAGTCTAGGCGCAGTGGGACGGCCTGCGCCAGGCACCCAAGAGCTTTGCACTTCTTGAGAAGAGGGTGTAATTAAGCAGGTAGGTGAATTTGGCTTTTTAACACTTCCGTAGTTAATTGCTCTGACTTTTTCCGCCTTCTTTCTCCTGGCCTCCTGCTCCTAATATGTCATCTAATAGCTCCTTTTTCTTTTAATGGCTGGCACCTCAAAGACCACTTTGTGCATGCTAATTAGACTTAGAGCATTTGGGGTTTTTTTTTTTTTTTTTGGTTGGTCTGAATCCAGGAATATGGAAGCCAAATATTTTCTCTCTCTCTGCTTTTTTGTTTTGTTTTGTTTTGTGTAAATGTTCTTCCTCTAGGCCTCCCAGTAACGCCGGATGCAGGAGCCAGTGCTTTGGCAAAGAGCAACAAGCTGGACCTGTTGTAGTTTTAGATCCTGTTTCCACACACGAACCCCAAACCAAAGACCAGCTCACCGAAAAAGATTCAACTCCACGCAAGGATGACGAAGGCAAAATGAAACCAGAATACAAAGAAGACAGCATGGAAAAAATGAGAGACACAGACAGCTCTCACTGCTGATGCGAAAGCCGACTCGTGTACCAGCCCTCTTCGCCGAGTAGTGATCAGTTCCGGCGTATTGGCAAGGGGGCTGCCGATATTCTGTTCTTGTCACTGGACTCACGGTACAGGTTCTATTCTGGTGTCACTTTTGTAAGTAATTTACCTATAAACATAAGTAAGTTGTTTAGCAAAATACACATCCTATGTAGGTTTTATTTTTCTGTATAGGGATAAGCTGTTTTGTTTTTGTTTTTCAAATTCGTGTATTAAGTGTGACTTCTAGAAGGTTACAAAAAATTCAGACGTTTGTCTTTTTAGCTAACGTGCAAACCACTGAACAAGCGTAATACTGAAAGTTCGCGGCTCTATGGATAAATGGAGAAACAGAACTGACCAACTGAAGAGGATTTAAAAAGTCCCCAAAGAAGCTTCTGTTTGGGGGCTGATCTTCTTTTGATAGAGAAACTGCAGTAGCATGGAAATTGTTAGGCACGTGGCATACAGATCACTTTCTAGCCTATCCCGAGGTAAAGCATAAAATTCAGGAGCTGCAGGTGCCAAGCCAGTACTCCCATAGTCCGTGCTCCTTGCACACACTGTCAGCTATGGAACAGAAAATCCGTGTGCATTTTCACCGTGTTCAGAGCCTCCCAAGGACGTCGGTGGGAATGCTCTGGTGGCCTGAATGAAGAATGGAGGGGAAAGTCCCAGCCTTGGATTTAATAGGGTATTATCTTGGTAAACAGTGTGCTCCGTGCTAGGAGTTAACTGTTTTCTCACGTACGAACGTGGCGCCAGTGCCGTGGTTTATCGCGATTCTTACGTACGGTCAAGATAAGTGACAAGCACACTATTTTCCTCCTTCACTGCTGTACCACATTACGCAGGTTTGTTGTATGTGTGTGTGTGTTTTTTTAAAGAAATTAAGTGGTAGTTAGTCTCTAAAAATACGATGTTTCAGTCTACCACGGTGAATAAATAGAAATGTAATCAGGGATTTAAAAAAAAAAAACTTATACAGCTTTTCAAAGTTGATTGTTTCAAAATTGGTGTTTATTTAAAATAAGTGGTAAGGTACTTGAATGCATTTTTTATGACAATGATTCAGTAATGGTAATTTTACTATTAAAGAACGTGAAAGGTTTAGTTTTGTTAGCGCGGCTCAGCATGTAGCTGTCAGGTGTTTCTCACCTAAGGGCAGAAGAAAATGATAGTAATAATTGCAGTAGTTGTATTTTATTTTTGCACGTGTGCTAAGCATAGGCTTGAAGAGGTGGGTAGGCAGGTAAATAAATGTACTTCCTAAATTTGGAGATAATTCTCCTTCTGTAGGTTTGTTATGCTTGACTGTTTCCATGTTCTTCCAGTGATGATTTTCCAGTTACTTATTGGTTTACTCACGGGGAATTAAAATGTAATGTTTTTCGGCTATAACGTTCCTAACTGAATACTATTCTGTATGATCCACTGACTACAAACTGCGTTAACACTTAACACAAGTTCTGTTATGCTGTGATTTGAAGTCTCCTCACCACACTTATTAAAAAGCACTGACAGTTTCCCATTAAAGGTCAGTTGTGGTTATTGAGATTTTGGGGTTACGTCCCCAAACTTGTCATTCTTGAGCAAGAAGATCGCAGACGCATTGGATGACTTGAGCAATTTTTAATCGTCCGCAAAATGGTTTCTGAGGAATTTTGCTCCGTGCTTCTTCGTGCTCTCCTTCCTGTGTCTGTCATGAGGCTGCCGGCATGTGTTTTACACACATTTAGGAACATAAAGACACGTACACTTGTCATTCCCTAGTCATCACACACATCAAGGGGGTGACGCACTTACGCAACCCCCCTCATTTCCAGGGTAGGAAGGTAACCTGTTTGGTGAGATGCGCTCCCCGGGCCAGACATCGATTAGCAACCGGGCTTTGCAAGTGTTCTTGTCTTGTCCGAGCCACTTTCTTTCCTTCATCGTGATCACAAAGCGTTGAAGGTTAATTTGATCTCGAGGAGTTTGATGTAGGATTTAACTCCTCTTGTTCTGCCTCCAGTATTGCCCCTTTCGCATCAGTTGTGAGGAGGTTCGTCCCTGCTGGGGTGCCGTTGTCAACAAGCTGTTAGTCCAGGACAGGAGGACACAGGAAGACTGGGGTTTGTGTCTTCAAGGTCACTCTTAGCCATTTGCACACACCCGCAAATTAATAGATGATCTTTATACCATTTTAAAGTTGGAAGGGACTGCCAACTTTAAAGTTTTGTTTTCTCTAAAAAATGATTTCTTCTTCTGTTTTGGAACAGGAACTATGCCTCACCTGCTACAGAGTTTTGGACTAGTACTGGTGCGTTTTTATTGCCCGCGTGAGGCAAAGGGGTAGACATACTTTGTGCTCTTGCTATTAAAGAAGGTGTCTCCCTTCTTTCCCCAAAGAAGAAGAATGTAGTTAAAATTCTAACACCCTCTTGTGCCTGGGCTGGTCTCGGAGTCCTCGCACCGTGGTCTCAGCAGCTGGGCGGTCCCGCGGAAACACTGACTGGCAGGACCCCGCAGGGCTGTACCCGGCCAGCCTTGATTTTGCCCGAGTGAGAAGGACGGGTGACTTGGCTTGGGCTACTCACCAGGAATTCCTCTTTCCTCGGCCTCTTTGTTAACACACAATAACACGTTTGTTGGAAAAATGGAGTAGGACAGGCAAACACGATCATCCATTCTCTTTCTAGACCATCTTTAGATTGTACGTCAGGTAAATGATGGTCTGTGTCACAGAACCCTGGATGATTTTCCCATGTGTGTTTAATGACTTCTATCCTGGAACAACTTCAGCGTTATGTGGCAGTAAGTTGTGGAGACGGGACACTGTCCATCACCATCCGGGAGCTTAGAACGATCCTCAGGCAGCCCTCGTTGAAAGGATTGGATCGGTTTGGAAGTTTCTTCCTGTCACTAACATTCCCCAACCCCATTCATTCACAATGGACGCAGGACTAGTCTCTTTGACCTCTTTTATAAATAATTTCTATAGCGTGTATAGTGCGTGTTTTATGTCTACGATATAGTGACATGTATGTAGGGAGAGAGAGAGAAAATGTAAGTAGAAGCAGTGTTCATTACATGAAGAAATTCGAATGCTCCTCTCCATTGGCGGCCCTGGGCTTCAAGTTGGGAAAAGGTGGACAGGCTGTGTGCCTGTGTGCAAATGAAATCACTAACCCGGTTGAGGTAATAAATGACCTCTTTGGTTCATTTAATTTAGTTACTGACTTAGTTTGCATATTTTTGCTCTGGTTCCATTCATTTAATTATAATTTGTGTTATGGTCCAGGGCAGACTGTCCGGTGATCCCCCGTATTTCAGGTGCGTGTCACTATGTGCGAAGGCTGTGTCGAACACCAGCCATGTGCTGCCTGCCTTTAAAATGAATTTTTCTGCCAGGTTCTCCTACCCCATCACGTGTTGCTGAGCACCGGGACAGGCAGGAGCAACCACAGATCGCGACATGGTTCTCCCACCGCCGCCCCGTGTGCTCTGAGAGAGCCCGCCCCTGAGCCAATTTTCAGTCGTTGCTTTGAGCGTAAGCCCTTGGCTTTACCATAAGGCCCTTAAGTTTCCCCGTGGGTACTCTTCAAAAGGGAAGCTTCTCAGCATGCTTAGTAAAAACATACAGAATACATCAGAAATCTAAACTTCACCAACTCTCCCGCAGGTCAGTGCATAACAATTTTCATAGCTTTAGAGGAAAGCAAATGGTAACTTTTAACAGAAGCTAAATTATATATAAAGCAGTAGGACGCTATTAGATCTATAGGTATGTGTTTGAATAAATTTGTTTCTGGTACTTTTCTGCTATAGCACCGACGCTGGCTTATACGAAGGGCACTTCAGTCAGCCTGTATATCATTTTTAGTCCCCTGTTTGTTAGATGCCGTAGTGTAAATAATTGGGCAGTTAGGAACCTTAAGGTTATTTATTCATTTAATGTGTTTTGTTCATTTATACTGATTTCTTTTTCCAAAGAGGATCTAAGGACACGCACAAGCATATAAGTAATATAATAAAGATGAAAATTTGGGGGAGGGAATCAGGGAAAAGGGAATTAACGGTAAGGAGGGAAGAGGAAGCTGGCGGTCACACAGACTGTGGCCTCTCATACTTGTGCGTGAGGCTGTGGCTACTACAGAAACGCGTCTGTGCTTTCTGGCACGGAATTAGAATCTGCGCTGAGTGAGGAGTCAACGGCAAAAGCGTTGGGCTCTTTTACTGGGTCGTGGCCCCCCAATGGACAGGAGGGCTGGTATACAAACAGAATCCCCACGGAAATGGGTGGCTGGAAGACGCAGTTTACACGTATGATTTCAGGCCGAAGGGCTACGTACCGATTTTACCAAAGAGTGAAATCCAAAGAGAACGGAGCACGCAAGTTAGGGACGTTTTTGAGCAAAACCAACACAGAGATGCACCTCAGCTGTACGGGTCTCAAGTGGCCATAAGTCGGGGTTGTCCGTGGCCCCATCCAGAAGACGCTCACGCTTTGGCTGATCCCTCCATCACTTCTGTGGGGAAGATGGGCTCCAGGAGCTCAGGCGGCCCCCCAGCCATGGTGGCCTTTTCAGCTTCCTCGTGCAAGGAAAAAAATGTGTGTTCCTCGTTGAAACCTATTAAACAACAAGAGCAATAAAGGTTACAGTTAACCCAGTGGTGCCAAGTTGGCTGTTATTTGTTACGTGACGTAAAGGAGGTCATCTTCAGAACCACCCAGAGGGGTCACGTCACCGTGGGAAAAGATCCTGGGACCATTTAAAACCGGGCCCGACTTGGGTTGTATGTTAGCTGTGCGGCATGCTTGTTCAGTTTGTGTGGCACCCTTCCGGAACATTTGGCGTATGGTGGACTTTGGGCAGAAGCTTGGCAGAAAAGGACCAGAGGAAGAAGATGAACTAGAGGGAAGACCAGTCCTCTACATGAATACAAACCATTGTCGGCTAACTGTTCCAACATAGACAGTTGCAGACTTCAGTCCAGTCCAGTCTATGCGGGCAGTGACTGTGTTAAGGGTTGAGCTTCTACAGGACTTCCTACTTATTCTCTTAGTGGGGACATTTGTTTTTCCAGTTTTTGGTCATTTATTGACTACTTATCATTTACTGACTACTGTCAATGTGCTGTACTGGCCACAGGCCAATGACAAGAATTCTCATCACAGGCGCACCTCAGAGATCCTGCCCGTGTGGTCCCCGACCACCACAAAAAAAGCAAGTCGAGTGAGTTTTTTGGTTTTCCAGCACATATAAAAGTTATGTTTATAACATAGTTGGTTAAGAGTGCAGTAGCGTTATGTCTAAAAAAAAAAATGTATGGGGCGCCTGGGTTGGCTCAGTCGGTTGGGTGCCTGACTTCGGCTTAGGTTATGATCTCACGGTTTGTGAGTTCGAGCCCCTCATCGGGCTCACTGCTGTCAGCGCAGAAGCCCGCCTCGGATCCTCTGTCGCCCTCTCTCTCTGCACCCCCGACTCAATTCCTTCTCTCAAAAATAAATGCACATTAAAAATATGTACATACCTTAATTAAAAATACTATATTGCTAAAAAATGCTCACCATCATCTGAGCTCTCAAAGTCAATCACCGGATCACAGATCATCATAAGAAGTATAATAATGAAACAGTTTGAAATTTTGCCAGAATTACTAAAACCTGACAGAGAGACGTGAAGTGAGCAAATGCTGTTGGAAAAATGGTGCGGACAGACTTGCTTGAGGCAGGGTTGCCTTAAACCTTCATTCTGTAAAAAACCGCAGTATCTGAGAAGTGCAGTAAAGCCAAATGCAATAAAATGAGGCATGTCTGTAATCTGCTAATCTGTTCCAGAATGTTTGGTTGGCACTGTCCCTGAGGGAGGAGGGGCTGGGCCGGGCCTCTGGTCACTAGGATCCTTTCTGATGCCCTGAAGCAGCTGTTTCTCTTGTGGGGAGGTCTGGCTGGAAATGTGGTGGGTCATTTTGGAACCTGAGGCTTCTAAGAGGCAGGATGACATAAAATAACCAGGTAGGAATAATCATATATAGGAGCAGTATGATTTTGCCTATCTGGAAAAACCAACCCGATATTACACATCCAACAACACACGCTAATTTCTGATTGCCCTTACACTCCTCAGAGTCTCTCCATTATGTTTTTAAAAAAATTTTTTTAATGTTTTATTTATTTTTGAGAGAGAGAGAGACAGAGCATGAGCAGGGGAGGGTCAGAGAGAGAGGGAGACACAGAATCCGAAGCAGGCTCCAGGCTCCGAGCTGTCAGCACAGAGCCCGACGTGGGGCTCGAACCCACGAACCGTGAGAGCATGACCTGAGCCGAAGTTTGACGCTTCATCGACTGAGCCACCCAGGCGCCCCATGTTTTTATTTTCTATGAAGCTTAGGGTGTCTTTCAAGGTCATTACATATGTTAAACATAGCAAATTTATCATTATGGCTTCCATCGGTGTCTTTGTTGTTTGAATTACAAAGACGATAACGTGGTCTCTTTAAATATCTCTGTATCCTATGTGCCTACTTCTGGCCATCCCAGTAACATGAAGGGTAAAAATGGGTATCTGGGGTGTTTTCTCTCCAAGTAGCCAGTACTTACAAGGTGCTCCTATCCAAGCAAATCTGCAGAGGTTTTTACCTCATAAAAAAGAAATAATTTACCTCATAAATTCCCTCGGTTCTCCTGAGACCGTAGCCTTTCCAACGTATGACAGACTTAACATGCTGTCTACTCGTCTGAAGGAAAAGGAGTTGTTTCTAAGACTCGTCAGGAAAACATCTGCCTTTAACTTTCAGGGGCTGTGCAGCCAGACCTTAACCATAATTTGGAGCATAACAAAAGGTAGGCTTGGAGATTCCAATCAATTAATTCTATTGAAAAGCACCATGCAGCTTATTCATGGAGAGGAAGGGCGAGAGTTTTAAACATTCAGGTAAATAGATAATCCATTAAGAAAACAATGCACATTGTGGTAAATGCCACCCCAGTGTTGTCAGCACTTAGTTATAGTCTTTGGATTCCCCTGCCCTCCTGCTGAGGGCCTCCCATTCCCCCTCTTCCAATCTTTGTTCTCTTATTCATGGCGAAGTGAAAACAAAGCAAGAAAGCAGCACATACCCAGTGCTCCCTTCTGGACAAGTTCTTCCTCTATAGTAAAAAGGCGGTTGTACTTAGTCACCCGTTCGCCTCGAGAAAGACCTCCCAACTTGATAAACCGGACACCGAGTCCAATGGCCTAAGGGGGTGGGGGACAAAATTTATTTTAAACGAGAAGTCACGTGTTGCTAAAATACGAACCGTTCTTTAGGGAGAAAGGGAGCGGACACCGCGTGCTGTTCTGGTTTTCCTCATAAGTCAGTATTTTATCTTTATGTAGGTAACACGGCCTGCTTACAGAGGGACAGCGGCAAAAGGTAAAGAGCGTGACTAAACATCAGATGCTTTACTAGTCATGTGAGCGTGCTGATTTTATCTAAGAACATTCTGGCCTTTCCCACTTCATTTTAGGCGGTAAGATTGCAAGGGCACACCCCAGCCATTTCAGTGTGCTCATCATTTTCCCAGGACTTCAATTTTTCTTCTTTTTAAAAGTTCAAAGATTAGCTCTTTACAAAAGGCAGCTGTCTGGGAGGAAGCAAGTCTCTTTCATAAAAGGTTACATGACTTTCTCCGCCAAATACTGCATTTCTCTGAAATACCAATTCGAGATAAAAGCAGTGTTTTGGCAATTCTGCAATTGACCAGCTTTTAGCACTTACCAAATCGACAAGGCTGTCATCAGAAGACTCTCCTTCTGTACTTCCAAAGACAGCGATGTGCTTCTTACCTGTAAGCAGAGGAATTCTTTTCAGGTTTAGATGGTATAGAAACAATAAATGTGTGTATATATATACATACGTATATACATATACACATATGTATATATGTATGTGTGTGTGTATGTATATATATATATATATATATACATACACACACACATACATGCCTCTGGAACCAAAATTTAAAATTTGCTAGAGATTTGGGGCACCTGGGGGGCTCAGTCGGTTAAGCGTCTGACTTCGGCTCAGGTCATGATCTTGGGGTTAGTGAGTTCAAGGCCCACATCAGGCTCTGTGCTGACAGATCAGAGTCTGGAGCCTGCTTTGGATGCTTTGTCTCCCTTTCTCTCTGTTCCTCCCTCTCTCTCTCTCAAAAATAAAGATTTTTTAAAAAATTGCTAGAGATTTAAAACTTTCCTGTGAAGAGTCAATGATTTGACCAGAGAGAATTCTGATCTAAACATTGTATTTTTATTACCCTAGTTGTTTTTTGTTTTTTTGAGAAACAGAATGCACATGTGGGGGGGGGGGGGCTAAGGGAGAAGAGGGAGGGACAGAAGGAGCCCAATGTTGGGCTTGATCTCAGGTGAAATCATGACCTGAGCTGAAATCCAGAGTGACACACTTATTCCTGAGCCCCCCAGGTGCCACTGGTTACCCTAGTTTTACCTGTTTATGCCTTTCTGGTATCTCAGATGCTAAACCCTACATGAATGCCACCTGCCAACAAATCTAAGCTACCATAAGTTGTAAGACCTTTATGACCACTAAAGGGGAGAAATGCTCAAATTAGATCGACACGTTTCTAAGACCACAACTGTGGGACACGATTCCATCTTGTCCATGTTCAGTGTAGGAAAGTGTGCATCTTTGAGACAAAATCTACAGGAGGTAAAAGGGCATCATTTGGGGAGATGATACGCCTCAGTGGATTCCACAGTTTATCATGTAGAATATTATTCAAAGGAACCTGTTGTTCTGAGTGTTTACTTATGAGACGAACAGTGTCGCTGGTGCTTAATCAGTCATTTGAGGATCTCAGAACCCCTTGAAATTTGCCAGTCTACAAAGAGCCAGGATTCTTCCTCCAGAGACAGTGTTTGTGCTTTAGAGGCAGGAGCTAGAGTAGCAATCTGAAGTGATTGCCTGCTGACAGGGAGGCCCTGGAGGAAAGGCCAGGGCTGGGGCCTCCCATCCACCTCCTACAGGACAGCGCTGCCTGGGCCCTCGACTGGGCCCTCTGCAGGACAGGGACTATGCGCATTCCATTCCCTTCTCTGGCACCAGCCCAGGACCCTGGCTGCCAGTCTGGCCCTGAGTCCTGCTCCAGCCTTCTGCCTACTTCCTGAGACCCACTCATGTTTCAGGCACTGTGTGTGAGTGAACGAGGCTCCTGTGAACTCACGGGAGTTTACAGTCTAACGGAGGCTACTAGACGTTAAATAACTGAACAAGTAACTGTGGCCAGTAGGATATAGAGAAAGCATAGGAGGCTATGAGAAAGGTTCAGAGCAACCAGGTAGGGGCGAGGAAGCCCGGAAAGGTACATACATCTGAAAAGGTTTCCTTTAAGGAAAGGAGACCTAAAGGATCAGGAGTTGTTAGCTGAGTAAATGATACAGGGCAAAGCATTCTAACCTGAAGGAACAGCATGTTCAAAGCCCTCAAGTTGGTAAAGAGTTTGAAACTTGTGAGGAATTGAAAACATCAGTGTGGGGGCACCTGGGTGGCTTAGTCAGTAAGCATCCAACTCTTGATTTTGGCTCCGGTCATGATCTCACAGTTGTGAGATCGAGCCCCGCTTTGGGGTCCTTGCTGGGCACGAAGTCTGCTTAAGATTCTCTCTCCCTCTTCCTCGCCCTTGCTCGCACACAAACACCCACTCTCTCTCTCTCTCTCAAAAATAAAAAAATCAGCATGGACAAGTGGGATCACTGTAGTGTGGTATGAAGCTGATAAGGCATTGTCCTTAGCCACGCCTGTGTGGTAGCCCTCGATAAAGGGGTCAACCTTCTAGACCGGGGCTGTTGTCGGAACACTGAAGTGACTCAGTAAGCTAGCTGCATTTCGAGTTCCAGCATCAAAGCTCTCGCAGATGGTTGGAAATTTGTTTTCCTTCCAAGATGAAGGCCATGCTTTTTATTAACTGATAAACTGTGTTATTTTTGGCTCCTTTTACAACCAAGTTCAGTTCATTATGAGCCTGTTAGATCTATATTTTTACTCACTGTCAAGAAGATCGGTTATTTGCACCAAGTCAGACATCGTAGTTTGATTGGTGTGTTTGATGATCAGCCCACTGGATTTGGGGATGCTGATGTTACCGTTCTCTAGAAGTTTAGAAATGCTTTTGGATGTAGTTCCTGCAATTATGTAACATCTGGAACCAAGAGCATTATAGATGCTGTCCCACTGTTCAGAGTCCTAGGTAAATATTTAAGAATTGATAGTTATAATGCATTAAGCATAGTCACAAAACAACAGGCATCTTATGGCACATATTCAAAGTTATCGATCTTTCTGAGAGCCACAAAACAGTTTTCTGTTGTACCAGCAGTGGCTGAATGATACCTGAAGCACAGCCACAAAAATTAACAAGCTTCATGGAACAAAACTTCAAGTGATTAATTAAATTTGAGCTTATAGATCTAGCAAATAAAATGTTTAGCACATTAAATGCTCCACAATGAAGTCCTTCAAACCCAAGCTACTCCTACCCCCGGTATTATCCATGACACCAGTAATGACTGCTTGGCCAGATCTCACTGTTCTATCTGGTGAACGGACAACTGAAGGAAATGCCCCTGCAAGAGCCCTAGGTTCTCATTCTCAACACCCTTATTTTTTATTGGTGAGACCATCACATGAAATGAAGTGCTTATTATTTTTTAACGGATGGTATACAAAATCCTCTAAGCCACGGTACCAGATTCCAGCCTGTCCCACGAGAACACACAACACAGGGGCAGTTTGTCACATTAAAACCGGCTGAGGTCAGAGCCCCGGGACAAGCTGTGGAAGTCGGGGCTCTGCCAGTGCCGGGATGAGGCACAGGCGGTGACAGGAGTGATGGCTGACAGAGGCACTGGGCCACCAAGTGAGAGGCAGCAGCCATCCTCACTCCCCAAATTTAAATCATGCATTGTCTCAGAGAGGGTATCTGTTCAGCATATCTAATGGTTCTTCAGTTCGTACCATGAAGTCTTGGAGTTCTGGAGCCTTAGGGAGAGCGATGGCCTGTGGTACATGGACCACCCTTGTCAGGTGCAGTTGCTGGCACAGATCCCCAAACCTCACTATCTGAAACCTTACGAAAAATAACGGCTTCGTGGGGCGCCTGGGTGGCTCAGTCGGCTGAGCGTCCGACTCTTGATTTCGGCTCAGGTCATGATCTCACGGTTCGTGAGATCGAGACCCGTGTCAAGCTCTATGCTGACAACGTGGAGCCTGCTTGGGATTCTGTCTCTCCCTCTCTCTCTGGCCCTCTGCCGCTCACGCTGGCTCGCTGGCTTGCTCGTGCTCTCTCTCTCTCAAATATTTATAAAGAAAAAAAAAGTACAGCTTTGTGACTTTCGTGCATTGTGTGGCGAGTGGATCTCGGTTACGAGCGTTTGACCTAGCCCGCGTCCTTTTGCCGGGAGCACTTCACAAGGGCGTGTGATGAACTTGCTGAAGCAGCGGCTAGCACAGCGGCTCGCCCGGCCTGGCTTAGGTTGCTCGTAAATACACGGTACCCTGAAGTGCTCGGGGCTAGCTTGTTTCCTGCTGCAGAGAGGAACACTCCTATGTAACTGTGTTTCTGCTCTGCGTTTGCTCGGTGCCTGCCTTTCCTCCTATATGCTGAAACAACTCAGGCCCAGCCCAGACTGCAGTATTTCGAATGACCAATCCATAAGAATGAGTTTGCTCTGTGTGGGTATAAAATTTGAGGTGGATCCCGTTACCTCCTTCCTGAAAGGATCGATCAAGGCGATAATTGAAGGGAACCGGCTGATCAGATCCCCGTACAGGTCCACCATCTCGGCTGCGTTTTTGTACGTTCCCGTCATCACTTCGTACTTCCCTCTGCTCTGAGAAGTGTTCGGACAATAACAAAGCACGGGATAAATGCTGAATTCCTCCAGTGTGAAAGGTGGGATTCCCATTCGCATTTACTCATCGCACATAAAAGGTTGTGAACGTTCTTTTCAGGCCGTACGCCCATTAGAAACCTATGCACCTTGAATGTCTGTTAAATATTAGCCTGGGGAAATCGAGTCACTGTTCCCCTTCGTGCCCCGTGGGGGTCTAACCACTGACTTCAGATGAAGCCTGGGGCGCAAAAGACCAAGTACACAGAAGGAGAGGAGTCATTTCTTGCTTAGGTTTGTGACGTGGCGCTCGCTGCCCGGCTGCTTGCACAGATGGGCGAGGACATAAATTTGTAAAACGGGACAGCACTGCACAGGGGCCCCACTCACCAGAACCCGCCGTCTTTCCACTCACAGTAAACGACTAGCTTGTTTCCTCTACTGTGGATATCCTAACATTTGAAAGCAGAGTGATTCTGAGATACTAACAGCCACTATGAAATGTCAAGTGACCCGTGTGAAGGCATCTCCCTTTCAGGTAGTGGCAAGTTCCGGCAGGAACCGTACAGTCTTGAAAGTAGAGTTCCAGTTCAACCCCACTCATTTGAAGTCCGGAAAGCCCCTGAGTCATCGAGGAAACAGGGCTTAAGGATCTAGCGTAATCTCTCTGCAAAACATCGCACTGACTTCCAGGTCTGTGTTGAGGGACGGCACCTGGGGGGACGGCACCTGGGGTGTATCTAGGTACTGGGGAGGAGGCAGAATGGAACAGAACGACATTTTGGTTTGCTAACGCCCTCTTGTTACTGCTGCTAATGGCAGGGATTCCACTGGAATTAGAAGTCCCTAACTGCAAGGATTTTATTCTTTTTTTCAGATTAAAAAGCAGCAAGGTCTTTTAGTTCTTTACTGCAAAGCATTAAAAAATCCTATCTCGTCAGTAAAGAAAAGTTAAGGACTTTTTAAAAAGTGTATTTTCATTTATTTTGAAAGAGAGAGAGTACAAGAGCGTGCATGCACACGCATGTGAGTTGGGGAGGGGCAGGGAGAGAGGGAGAGAGAGAAAATCCCAAGCAGGCTCCACACTGTGAGCACAGAGCCCAGCAAGGGGCTTGAACCCATGAACCATGAGACAAAACCAAGAGTCGGACGCTCAACTGACTGGGCCACCCAGAGGCCCCAGAAAAGCTAATGGCTTTGAACTAACATTGTAAGAATTATCTGCTGTCAAGCTAATACATTGTACTGAATATAAGCAAAAAATCCCCATTCTAGCTAGCACTAGTCAGTATATTCATAGTTCTTGGTATACATTGCTGATGAAAACATGCAATTATTTTTTGTAATAGTATGCCTAGGAACCAATCATTATGTGGAGAATAGGAAATTAAACATTCCTTCATGCACTTAGCATCTTTAGAAAACTAAAAAGGACTTAGAAGTCAGCTGAAACTTAGGGTTCTCATACACTGTTCAAATTTTCCTCTGAAGTTTCTTTTTTTTTTTTTATTTTTTTTTATTTAAAAAAAAAATTTTTTTTCCAACGTTTATTTATTTTTAGGACAGAGAGAGACAGAGCATGAACGGGGGAGGGGCAGAGAGAGAGGGAGACACAGAATCGGAAACAGGCCCCAGGCTCTGAGCCATCAGCCCAGGGCCTGACGCGGGGCTCGAACTCCCGGACCGCGAGATCGTGACCTGGCTGAAGTCGGACGCTTAACCGACTGCGCCACCCAGGCGCCCCTCCTTTGAAGTTTCAAGAATTGCAAGTTCAAGCAGAATTCTCTCTGGTCATTTCTCCTGAATTTGACATTAATTACCAAATCACCACACGTGTATGTGAACATGCTGGGCGTTTTGTAAAACACAGACTCAACATTTGTGTATTTGAAGAACAGAAGTATGTGTACGTGTATCAGACTGGCAACTTTTAACAGCATTCCTAACATGTTAGTTTCCCAAGTTTTAACATTAACTGCAGGCGTGTTAACCCCGAGAAAGCGAGGACTGCAGCTTTTGAAAAGTGAACCTGTTTTCTGTTCTTTTTAAAATAACTGCCTGCATGTGGTGTGGTCTCTGGGTGAAGCTTCGTCACTAAAGCTCTGTCCTAACCCAGGCTGTGGGTAACACTGTGATGGGCTTAATTGGATAAAAATACATTCTCCCTAAATGTCAATAACTTGCAAATATTTTTATATTTAAAAAGTGAGTCACAGGGGCACCTGGGTGGCTCAGTCAATTAAGTGTCCAACTCTTGGTTTTGGCTCGGGTTCATGATCTCATGGTTCATGAGTTCAAGCCCCATATTGGGCTCTGCACTGACAGTGTGGAGTCGGCTTGGGATTCTCTCTCTCTCTTCTTCTCTCTCCTCCCCCCTTCCACTCCTCTCTTTCAAAATAAATAAACAAAATAAAGTGAGTCACAGCAGAAATTCTGAGAACCACTTGTCCAGAAGGGCTTACCAAGTCACAGTTAAACAATGGGTTCACTTTTCATGCTTGACAAATTCAGCACTTACCAATGAAATGAGTGAACTCAGCAGGACATGCCAGCTTGTTAAATTATTTTTCAACAGCTCTCATAATTGCAATGTAAGCAACCATGTTAGTAATTTTTGTTACAGGATTTCTATATGTAATTATTTTGCCATTTTCTGTTAATTTTTAAAGATCATAGGGGCGCCTAGGTGGCTCGGTCAGTTTTGGCTCAGGTCATGATCTCATGGTTCATCAGTTCGAGCCCCGCATCAGGCTCTGTGCTGACAGCTCAGAGCCTGGAGCCTGCTTGGGATTCTGTGTGTGTCTCTCTCTCTGCCCCTCCCCTGCTCACTCTCTGTCTCTTTCTCTGTCTCTCTCTCTCTCAAAAATAAATAAACATTAAAAAACTTTTTTAATTATATGGTTATGGTATTTTCTGGTCATTAGCTAACTTGGCTTTCTCAGGTTGGCATTTATGTTTGTCCCCTCACACGATATTAATAAAAACAACAGAATCTGTTTGGAAAATGTTCAGAAACACTCGTTTTGAGTTCTAATTTAAAAATACTGGGACCCAACAAAAAGTAAGTGTTCTGGAGCAGAAACTTACATAATCTATCAGCTCATGTGCAGCACAGTTGATGGCTAGATGCAGATTGGTCCCCAGGTCCAGCCCCAGGTTTGCACAGATGCCTTCGATGAGGAGCAGCGGCTGCTCTATGGTGTCGTAATTAATGGTTAAACAGCCAAGATGGGACATCTTGCCGGTGATGGGCTGCTGTAACCAAACCAAATGATGCATGTAAATTGAGCACAGTAAGATTCTTGGAGCTTCCTGGTTATAAACTAGGCATTGTTTATAACCAGATACAGCCCTCTAGATGTGTCTCTGTGTCTCCACTAACAGCACATCCAGGATCCTCTCATCTCTGCATGACCTTCCAGCGTACGATTGCCCAAAGTATCTGGAATAATTTCCTTAGCCCAAGGTTTCAAGTTTGACCCAGGAATACACTTGTCTCTTTGGTCTGCCTGTGTAATCTCTTATATCAGCTCTTTCACTGTACATGGGCTGACCTGAGCTGCAACCACCAAGGTAGTAAATTTCCACCTGGTCTCTGTAAACGTCTGTCCAGCCTGTCCCTAACTCTCTCCTTCTCCATCTACTTCCAAACACGCTCTTTCCTGTGTTCTGTCTTCCTTTGGAAGAATATAAGTATTAAGGCTGGAACCCTCCTTCAGGAAACGTTTTATGAGAAAAAGGAGTGAAGAACTCTGCTAAAATGCGTTGCTGAGGATGGAAGAATGTTTGGGACCTGGAGCAGCCCAGGGAAAGCCATGAATTTCTATTGCAAGGTCAGCCCTGATATGCCTCATCATAAATTGCCACTATCCAATTATAACATAGTTGAAGCAGAATCAGTAATTCTGAAGGGTGTGTGTGTGTGTGTGTGTGCATGCCAAACTTAAGAGCAAACCCAAGTGTGTGCACGAACCTAGGTGTAACTATCCCATTTCTCTGATGATAAACTAGTCAATTATAAGAACCATCCAACATTTTTAATGTCAGCGAGAGGAGCCTTTTATTTGGCAAAGGAATAGTTGGGGAAATTTCTGTATATCAACTGAGGAGTTTTGTTGGAGTCTTCTAAACTACAAAAGTATGACTTATTTAGAGTTTATTTATCACTTATTAAATGCCAGCTACCATTCTAAATGCTTTACATAAATACATTTACTCCTTACGTTAACCTATGAAGCAAGTACTATTATTATCCCATTTTATAGAGAGCTAAGTAACTTGGAACAGATTTTAATCCAGGAAGTTTAGCTCCAGAGTTCATGCCTCCACTGGTATGGCTGCCTCTCCAGAATCGACCAATTAAGCTTTTTCTAACAGAAATAAAAAGTAGCAAAGCTGACCACAGGAGGACTGATCTTGGTCTGAGCTTCTCGGAACACAGAGGACAACCTGCTGGCACGAGGGAAACAACATTGATACCGGGTGGCTTGTTCATCATCACCTAAGCGCTCTTACAAGGTCCAACTTCAGAGTGTTGTGTTCATCCCAACAGATGCAACTGTCAAGTACTTTACTTTCTGGTGTATTTTTTCATACGTTTCTCTTCTCTCTCCCAATTTTGAGGAGGGATTTAATTTTCCATCTTTAATTTTCCATTCGGGTGAGCAACTAGGACCATTTGCATTATCTCCGGGGTTCTTATTGGTTATTCTAACTATATGGTTGAAAGGTTAGGCATGGAACAGATGTGTCTGTCAGAGCACCCACAATCACCAGAGTCATTGACTGATCAAGGTCAGACGGTTTCCTGAGGCTCTTGCAGCCATCCCTGGCCAGTCTTGACAAGAACTGTTTGACGCCGCTGACAAAATCTGAGCTCCCGTAATGGTTCTGGATATGGTGCTTTGGTGACTTTGCGGGACGCAATGAAAGAGATGGCTCTCTTTTTGCGCCTTTTGTTTCTCTCTCACTTGATAGGGGTAAGATGAAGATCGAAAACCTTTCCCATGTGCTTTTTGGCTACTTAGCAGAAATTCCCCTTCCCCAGCATTTCACCTATTAGGTTCCAAATATAATCCTGTTACTTATAAATGATTCTCCGTGCCCTCCGAGATGTCGGCTGGACAGACAACTGCTGGCCCACAGCCTGTGGCCAGAGAGGGAGGATGGAAAGATCTCCCAGCCCTGGGCTCTGCCGGTTTCTGGCTCTTGGAGGAGGAGCACTGTGTTGTTTCGATTTGTGTCAGCCCTGGTCTTGGAGCTCAGTGACTGGGAGAGGAACACTGGCAGAGAGGATATAAACGAACTGTGTCATACTGAAGTGTGGTAAGGAAATACGTGAACTTACTTGACTTCTTTTGTTTCCATTATGCCCTTTTTTTGTCTCTGTTTTTGGAGGAGGCGGCTGTGGGACAGAAGATGAAGATAAGTCACTTGCAATTATTAGGTCTTGTGGCCCGTCCACTGTTCTGGGCCCTGTCGCACTGTGAATCACACTTGTGTACACACACACACACACACACACACACACACACACACAGGGACCTTACCAGCCCCTCCCTATTTTGATAACCTCCAAACCGTTTTTTCGAATTCAAGTGCATGTTCCCTTTTGTTCGTCTTTACATTGTACCTCCAATCATTATAGATGGGGTATGTGGATAACATATCTGTGTATTTCTACTCAGGTAAATAAGTTATTATTCTCTCATACGAAGTCCCCTCCTTGCCCTTAAGGAGAAACACCACTGTGGGATTTGCTTTTAGATTGGTTTGAATGTTGTTAAGGTACAAACCCTTTGTCCCTTTGACTTGACTTTTGGAAACAGCCAAAGGTCATTAAATCTGATGAATCTGGTATGTGTAATGTCATCTGAAATTAAAAGATACTTTCCAAAGATAATTGGTGACTTTCAATACCCACAATGTAGGGTGTTGACAGTGTTATAGATCCAGGATTCAGCCTTTAAAGGATGCTTTTTAATACCCAGCATTCACAGGCTCTGTAAATTGGGGTATGTTTGTCAAGAATCAGTATGGTTCACACCCAAGTATATGCAAATACAGATATCTTACTTCTTTTCTTCACGATGGAGTCTGCTGAACTTTCTATCCCCTGCTAAAAATACCACACTCAGGAAGCAAAGTGATGTGCGTGGCAGGAGACATACACTGGTGAACAAGACAAACACAGGCACGACCAGTGGCTCATATATATGGTTGCCTGTCATCGTCTGGCTTCTGTGGCTTCCCTCTCAAGGGCTGCCTGGCCAAAGGCTCCTGTTTGCCCAACACCAGGATCCCAAGCAGACACAAGAGTCTGTGCCTTAACCATTACACTAAACTGCCTCGCACATCCTAGGGGCCAAATCCTTTCTTTGCAAATCCTAAGGGGTGATCTTAGCATAAAGCCAGCTGATGAGATTGTTGAAGGCCATTAGAAACTGGATCCGCAGCCAGTGAGGGAATGTAGAAGCTTGCCTCCTATGGGAAACCCAAGGAAAATTAATACATTTCACACATCAATAACAACAATACTGAGTTAATGAACTGTAATGAACTATAATTTGTATATATTGTCAGCAATTCCATACCATAGATCCTCTTCACATACCATTTCAATTGTTTTGTTAATATGTTTCTGAATTTCCAGAAGCATCTCCACACCCTGTAAGTAGAACAATCATGATCTTCCACAACTGCAGTCTAGAAATTTTAAATATAAAAACTTACACCACACGCTGGCTCTTTCTAACTGAATATTTGTAGGGCCCCTGACAATGTATCCTGGTTAGTAGATTGGGTATGGTCTATCAAATCAGAAGATTAAATGTGAATCTTTAGCCCTCAATTTTTATTTGGTTGAAAATGAGCGAGATTCTTCTCACAATCCTTTCTCCATTGTTCAGAATTGACAGGTTCAGTTGGTTGGATCAAGTGGACCTCATTCTCTTTCAGTCTCTTGACCAACCTTTTTGCAGTACATGTCACAGGTCACCCAGGGATTCTGCATGATAGTGTTTGAATTAGTATAAAGCCACTGTCACTTAAAAAGTCGACACAGTCTAATGACTGTGGGATCTGCATACGAAGACAAATACAGAATGGCATGCCAACTGCTCTGGTACCCAATAGCACAACAGATATTAACTGCAGGGAAGATTCTGGTGCCAGCATCTGAACATGATCTGATGGATGGTGAGCCAGCAATGGATTCCTAGTGTTCCACAATCAATACATTGGGAGATAATAGTTATTCTCATAAAAAAAGAATTCTTTATCATGAAGAAATTATCTTGAGATTTTTTTTAATGATTTTCACTAGCTTGGATAAAAAAATATCACTCAATGTATTACCAGAGGGGATGAAACATCCTGCATGTTTTTTCTGAAAACATCTGCTATAGAACATGAACATTTGTTCCTTCCAGTGCATATTTCACGAAGATTTAAAGAGGCGTATTGGCTCATTCAGACCACGGCAGAACAAGACAGACGCTAGCACACGACTAAGTAGAAAGATGCAACTTAGGATTCATTCATTCTGTAAACATGCACCAAACCTCTCTTTTGTGCCAAGCAGTCTGCTTGGCCCCGGAGCTCTTACTGAACAGAATTGGCTGCTAGGAAAATGCCAGCTTCCTCTCGCTGCTGCCACAGTGCATCGGCCAGTAAATAAAGATGCCTCAACTCCCCCAAATAACAACCTTCCAGCACTCTCAAGGCCTGCCAGGTTACTCACCCGGGGCTTCTTGGGGAGTCACTGGCACATGTCAGTGCTGAAAGGAACCAGAAATTGAAGGTGGCCTAAATGTGCCACCCCCCCCTTTTTTTTTTGACGTCTTGCTTTCTTCCCAAGTCCCTGATTTCCTAAAGTATTTTTTTTTTCTCATTTTATAATTAATTCTCTCTCCTTCAGCATCATAAACCTTAGGGACCCTCACTAAAGACTCATCGATGGTGGAGTATATTTTTTTAGAAAAAGCAGTATGATATACTATGAGGTACTTGTTTAGCTGTTAATCCAGGATGGGGTATACAAATCACTTCTTTCATTAAATTCAACTTGCCGGGCGATGACTTCCCACAGCTGACCAGAGATACCATTAGCAAAGGTATAGTTAGCTTTGTCGGCTGCTCCTGAAATAGGGAAGAACAAGGAGAAACAAGAAACATGGTTCATTGTTATGGAGATACTCGTGGGTCCTTGGCACATAATAGATACTAACCTGAGGGTGCTTCAGTAATGCAATATTTAAGTAGAGGGGGTTATTGTCCAGCATGGCACTGGTTTTGGCCACAGCTAGTGACACTGCCCCAATGGCCATGCTGCCACTGAGGACAGGTTCAACAGGTTCTGGAGGCAAGATAGGCTTCTCTGTAAGAGTATCTGTCCTCCCTAGAAGGAAAAAGAGTGATAAAAGATTCCTTTCTAGGAAATTTGACTATGATAAAACTATCTATTTTTAATGCTTTACTTATAGATGTGAAGGCCCAGTATAAAGAAAGGGGGAAAACTGAGGCTAGACAGAAAACGCTCTCCACCCCAACCCCCAAGAAGTTTTTGTGTGATGTTCAAGTAATCCTTAGCCATGGAGTTTGCCACTCTTAAGAAATGTTAAGATATTAAATATTAACTCCTTCAACAATTTTATGGGGTAGATACTGTTAGCCCACATTCACATATAAGTAAATTAGGGCTTAGGTTAAAAGATTGGCCCAATATCTATAGAACGTGAATAAAGAGGATCTGGACAGTCTTTGGATTCCAAGTCCTTTGTTTTCTACACCTGCCATAGCTCCTTGGTACCCAGCTTTTTGTTGAATGTCTCTTCATGCACATATATCTAACTGGTTACCTTTCTGGCCAATCCCAAACAGACACCTCATTGTTTTAGAAGTGGCATCCAAACCCAGCCATTGACCCTCACCCTCACCCATCTTTTACTCTCATTTGTTCCCAGTGAGCCAGCCTGATCAGGTGCTACGCCGTCCGTTGTAAATCGCTAGGGCCCTTTCTGCCCTTCCCCCAGCTGCTGGTCTGGCTCGGGTAGGTAAGATAAGTGGAAAAAGCTATGTAAGCGCAGAGTACATAGTAAATCTTTAGCAAATTCCTGTCCCCTCCTACTTCTCTTACGTTCCACGTTCTGTCAGTCAACAGCAACCACCAAATAAACACCCAGTGCTGATCTCTACCTATAATTCAGCAGTGGCTATCTCCCTGTCCCAAGAGATTGGTTTCATAGGATTCTTTTGCCTTGGGCGACTCTCCTTCCCTCTCTGGGCCTCAGCATCTGAATCTAGGAAATAAGAAACCATGTCTCCATGTTCTCTTTGATCCCCTCCTGGTTCTGGTGCTTTCTTCTTCAAGGAAACCCACATTTATTGGGTGTTTGTGCGTTTGCCTCATGCTAGGCGCTGGTGGTGCTCAGTTGAATGAGACATGATTCATGTCCTCAAGGAGCATGTTGGAAAGACATTAAACTCTGTTTACAATACCAGCAGCACTGGAGGGGCTGAAGTTCACAATATGTTGGAAAGCATGGAACGAAGGGCCATGATAACTTTGATTATTTGCCTTAAAAGAGCAAGGTTTACCCCCCTCCCCCAATTTTTCTTTATATGTTATTAACAGGACAGAGAAAATGTTGGTTATCCGTATCAAAGGATATTGCTAATCTTTAAAATATGGAGTGGCTTTTTTGATGAGCTAATGGATATTTTGCGGGGCAGTTGAAGGTCCCCCACACCACTTTCCTTTTCCCCATCCGGCATCGCCACCCTCCGGTACGCTTCCTTTGGTAAGTGCTCACCTCTGGGGAAGAAGTATTTTTTCCTTACAAAGAAAACAGAGGGTGGGGTGGGGTAAAACCGCCTAAGATCCCTGACATCATAGCTTCAAGCAAGGAAGTCACATGCAGGATGGATGGTACCTGGTGGGGAGGCCGGCCTAGGTCTGCAGCAGACTCTGATCGGAAAGGCAGTCTAAACATCAGCCTTTCTTCTTCATATAGTGGTTATGGAAGGTTCTGTAACAGGAGTCACCGACCTTGCCTTTGTCCTTTTTTTCTTGCTGGGGGTGGAGGAGGTGGAGGTGAAGGGATGGCTATTGTTTGGTCTTCCAGGCCCTTTTCCAGCTGTCTTCTCTCCTTCTCTTCTTGTACTTTACTTTCAAAGAATGTCCTTAATGGCAAGAAAACATGGCTTTACAATGAAGACCACTCGTAATTTGGGCCGTGTTTTAGTGCTGACCTGACCTCCGTTCAATGTGTGTCAATAATTAGCTCTGCTTTTTAGCCACTTAAAAGCAGATCACAGCTTCACTCTCCAAGGCCCCCAAATGATGGTGTTGTAACAAAACTGTGTGGAGGAGCTGAGATTACTTTCGGAAGGAAATACATAAATGGTTGGAAATAAATGTTTGCAGGTTGTATGTGTTCGTTTTAAAAATTATTTGAGGGGCGCCTGGGTGGCTCAGTCGGTTGAGAGTCCAGCTTCGGCTCGGGTCATGATCTCACCGTTGGTGGGTTCAAGCCCCGCATCGGGCTCTGTGCTGATAGCTCGGAGCCTGGAGCCTGCTTCAGATTCTGCGTCTGCCTCGCTCTCTGCCCCTCCCCCACTCGCACTCTATCTCTCACTGTCTCAAAAAGTAAATAAACATTAAACAAATTATATGAGCCCAGTCGTTTGTATATTCAAGGTAAAAATTGAAGATCTAATTTGATTAAGGGCTACTGGATTTTCTTTTTGAGTAAATGACCATCAAAAGAAAATTGAGTCAAGAATAGACAGTGAAATATATAGCATAATGGGCAGGACTTCATTTTCTTTTTTTGGTGGGGGGGAGAACTTAAGGTGAACAGTTAAAAAAAAAAAAAAAACTTGGGGAAGGCCCCTTTAGGTTCACCTCTATAAAAGTTCAGCTTCCCCAGAGTAAGAAGAGGCTCAAAGCTTCCACAGGAAAAGAAAAAAGCCAACAAAGAACAAAGACACGGGAATTAGAATTACATTCCACTTATTAATGATCCAGGTGTTGGTGGGACAGAGCCTTCAAAGTGCTGAGAGAAATTGCTTTTAAATGAGATCTATACTCAGGTAAACTGTCAGCCATCAGGGCAAAGTGCTGGCATTTCCGCACACGTACGAACTCCAAAACTTTCCATCCCGCAAGTCGAGAAAGAAGAAGATACAGGATTGAGAAAGTAGGGGGAAAATAAAGGGATGTCCTACGGCATCTCTGTTAGCAGATAGAGAGGAACCGGTCCAGATGGGAGGTTTGGGGGAGAAAAATTCCAGGAGAAAAGAAATGGAATAGAATAGAAGGCACGAGAAAACCTACACTGGGAAAGAAAATGAAGAATATGATCACAGCAGATGAGGGGAAAAAAACAAACAAAACCAAAAAACCATTAAAAAAAATTTTTTTTACAAAGGTTATGATCCAACTCGGAAGCAAACTAAAACGTGATATTATGTATAAGTAAGCAAGCGGTGAAGTATAGAGAGAGACAGAATCCGGTTGACCTTTGTTGGGCCAAGAGGCTTGTGGCAGCGGACCTCCCCAAAAGGAAGAGTAACGCTAACCCTTCCTCAGTTGGGTGTTGGACAATACTTACACAGCCCCAGCAGACCCTTCCTTGGTTTTCACATGTTAGAGTCCACCTATGGACAAGCATGGAGGACTTGTCTGTGGCTGAGGGGCAGACTATAAGCATCATCCAGTGTGACTACGTGAAAGGGTAGGAGACACTCAAAGATGGCATATGAGATAGGGGGACGGACAGGACGTCATCTGGATTCTTCGTGCTTTTCCTGAGAAACGTTCTACTGAAACTTATCCTGAACCCTTTGCATGGAAAGAGACTGAAAGGCCTTACATGGCCTCCCACAGGAAAACTTTAAAAACAAGGTTTTCAGAAAACCCACAGGAAAACTTTAAAAACAAGGTTTTCGCTGCTTTAGCATATGCTTTTTTTTTTTTTTAATTTTTTTTTTTCAACGTTTATTTATTTTTGGGACAGAGAGAGACAGAGCATGAATGGGGGAGGGGCAGAGAGAGAGGGAGACACAGAATCGGAAACAGGCTTCAGGCTCCGAGCCATCAGCCCAGAGCCTGACGCGGGGCTCGAACTCACGGACCGCGAGATCGTGACCTGGTTGAAGTCGGACGCTTAACCGACTGCGCCACCCAGGCGCCCCAGCATATGCTTCTTAATCAACTTGCTGACTGTACCCTCTAGATACAACAGACCCATATTATTGGCGGGTGAAAGAAAAAGAAAAGAGATACATTTGTACTGGATGCTTCCATTTGCAAGTGGAAGATTTACCTGAGCACCTGGTCCACCTCGGCCTGGTTGGAGGGGGCTATGCCCCGAAGCTCCTCCGTGATGGTTTTGTTGACCCACTGCACAGCAGTGCTGACGGCCTTAGACCTTTCCACTTCCTCGGCCTCAGCCTGCTCAGGTAAAGCGTTCTCATGGACTTCAAAGTGCGTTGAGATCACCACTGAACATATGTTCTGAAAATAATATGAGTGTGTTCTACGTTTTCCCTACCTTTTGCAGAAAGGAAGAAATTGAACGTATCCAGCTTTTAATGTGCATGATATTTTATCACCAGTTGCAAAGGGAAAACGAGAATATATAATTTTCTTTGAGATATTTTTATAACTGTTGAAACAGTGTGGAACCCAACTTCAAGGAGCATTTAAAATTATTACCTGGTTAATGTACACTTATAAAAACCTTACATTGAACTTCATTTTTATCACTACCTGTCCAGGAAATAACTAAAAGGATACAGATTTTAATCATAATTATTTTCCTCCCAGAGACTGTAGTAAAATTATTTCTAACAAATATGTAGCAATTCAGATGAATTATTAAAATTACTAAAATGAATTTGTCTTTATGTAGTTTGGCCTACATATCTACGAATCTATGTAAATCCATATAAAAACATTATGAATAAACATCCCTGTAGATTTACAGAACTTACCACCTTAATAATGTCAGAGTTTTAAAACTATTTTTGCCCCACGTCTCCATCTTGGGTCATCTTCAGGCTAGCAGGTCATGTCTGTACCAATAGGACACTTAAACATAATAAAGCCATCATGTTTGACTGCATGGTTCCTGCTTTATGTACATAACTACCTACAAATTGTGTGTGTATATTTCACAAACGCTGAACTTCAAAACATTAATTTTCTACAATTTAGACAATAAATGCTAATAAATGCAGTGGCGTCAGGACACAGTGAAGAATACATTTAAGCTGCTTCGTACCTTGGGGAAGTTTTGAATGGTGCAGAATATTTCCACTTGTAGGGTTGGAAGCCCCAGTCCATCCAACACGTTTCTCCCCACTACTTTGCATATGGTGGGAGGCTTTGCGAGTTTAGAGAAACAGTTTGCCTTCGACACACACACAAAAAAACAAAGATGACAACACCATAACTAATTTGTCTTTAAAAGGTCATTCTCATTTACTCTAGTTTCTACTAAACTTCTCCCTCAGTGTCCTCCTCCTGCGGGGATCAGGCTAGCAGCTCTGTGGGAACTGCCCCGGCCTCATGAGCTGAAATTTGGATTAGCCTGATGCCCAGTCTTTGGTACATGGAGTGATTTGTTCTCTTTTAAAAATATTTACTTATCTATCTATTTATTAATTTTTAAATTTACATCCAAAGTTGATATGTAGTGTAATAATGATTTCAGGAATAGAATTTAGTGATTTATCACTTACATACAACACCCAGTGATGATACCGACAAGTGTCTTCCTTAATGCCCCTTGCCCATTTAGCCCATCCCCCACCCACAACCCCTACAGCAACCCTCAGTGTGTTCTCTGTATTTAAGTGTCTCTTGTGGTTCGTCTCCCTCTCTGTTTTTACATTATTTTTGCTTCCCTTCCCCTAAGTTCATCTGTTTTGTATCTTGAATTCCACATGAGTGAAGTCATGTGATATTTGTCTATCTCTGACTGACTGACTTCCCTTAGCACAATACCCTCTAGTTCCATCCATGTTGTTGTAAATGGCAAGATTTCGTTCTTTTGATTGCTGCATAATATTCTACTGTGTACCACAACTTCTTTATCCATTCATTAGTCGATAGACATCTGGGCTCTTTCCGTACTTTGGCTATTGTCAATAATGCTGCTATAAACATTAGGGTGCATGTACCCCTTCAAAACAGCACGCCTGTATCCTTTGGATATATACCTAGTACTGCAATTGCTGGGTCATAGGTAATTCTATTTTTAATTTTTTGAGGAAACTCCATACTGTTTTCCAGAGTAGCTGCACCAGTTTGCATTCCCACTAGCAGTGCAAAAGGGTTCCTCTTTCTCTGCATCCTTGCCAATATCTGTTGTTGCCTGAGTTGTTAATTTTAGCTATTCTGACAGGGGTGAGGTAGCATCTCATTGTGGTTTTGATTTGTATTTCCCTGATGATCAATGGTGTTGAGAATTTTTTCATGTGTTTGTTAGCCAGCTGGATGTCTTCTTTGGAAAAGTGTCTATTCATGTCTTTTGCCCCTTTCTTCACTGGATTATTTGTTTTTGGGTGTGTGTGTGTGTTTGATAAGTTCTTTATAGATTTTGAATACAAATCCTTTATCTGTCATTTGCAAATATCTTCTCCCATTCTGTCAGTTGCCTTTTAGTTTTGCTGCTTATTTCCTTTCCTGAGCAGAAGCTTTTTATCTTGATGAGGTCTCAAGAGTTCATTTTTGTTTTTGTTTCCCTTGGCTCTAGAGACATGTCAAGTAAGAAGTTGCTGTGGCCAAGGTCAAAGAGGTTGTTGCCTGTTTTCTCCTCTAGGATTCTGATGGCTTCCTGTTTTGTTTAGGTCTTTCATCCATTTTGAGTTTATTGTTGTGTATGGTATTAGAAAGTGGTCCAGGTTCATTCTTCTGCATGTCACTGTCCAGTTTTCCCAACACCATTTGCTGAAGAGACTATCTTTATTTCATTGGATATTCTTTCCTGCTTTGTCAAAGATTAGTCGGCCATATGTTTGTGGGTCCATTTCTGGGTTTTCTATTCTGTTCCATTGATCTATGTGTCTGTTTTTGTGCCAGTACCATACTGTCTTGATGATTACAGCTTTGTAATACATCCCGAAGTCCGGAATTGTGATGCCTCCAGCTTTGGTTTTCTTTTCCAGGAGTCCTTTGGCTATTTGGGGTCTTTTCTGGTTCCATACAAATTTCGGGATTATTTATTCTAGCTCTGTGAAGAACGTTGGTGTTATTTTGATAGGGATTGCTGTTCTCTTTTGAACTCTCAGCAGAAACTCACATACATTTATTTCTTCTTCTTTTTTTTTAATAAAGCGTGAATTTATTTGCAATCAAAATGAAACATCATTTTAACTTTTAAAAAAGGAAAACAAGTCTTTTATTCTTATACTTAAAAGTCAGTTTTAAATGACATAAACCCACAATATAATTTTAGAAATCAAATAAACTTCCCCATTTCAAAGAACAGTATCTAACAAAATGTAAAACTTTTAAAAGCATTTACAACATATATTTATAGGTTTGGTTGTTTTTTTAAAAAAAGAATATATCACTGCTTTGGCCACTGTTTTAACTGCTTTACCCAAATTATTTGTGCCTAATAACAACCCTATGGGATCAGTACTATTTTTGCTATCTCCACTCTATACATGGGGAAACTGAGTAGAAAGAGATTAAATGTTTTCCCCGCGAGTTCAAAATAACTGTCTGAGCTGAGATTCACATCGAGGCAGGCTGATTCCAGAATCCACGTCAACTGCTATTGATGGGGGAAGGGAGAAGGGCACAAAGTCTACTTTCAAATGCATAGCATTTTGGGAAAAAAAACTAAGCCCGAGGAATGTGGTGATACACTCCCTATTTTTATGTCAGGAATATGAGGCCCCCACTAACTCTGGCCATTCCGGACGCGGATAATCTTCTACCTGCCATGTTGGCTTCCATTTCTGGTTTGGTGATGGTGCCTCAGAGTGAAATATGTACATACATATGAATTTAAGGGAGGAGAAAAATAAACAAACAAAAACTAACTCAGGATTGGAGTCTTAGCCAAATTAATTCACACTGAAATAAAGAGATTTGTTTTAATGAGATGACTCCAGCTACGCAACGGAGGAGGATAGTTGTTTGAAAATTATTACTTAGTTTCTCCAAAGAGGCTCCTTTTGGGAAACAGACTGTTAGTCAAACATGACACACTTTGGAATTTTTTCACGCACGTTTCTTAAAGACCCCATGTCACTCTTTAGCAGGCCCTCACCTATCCTTCTGTCCAAGATACCAAAGTCAGTTGGTCTCTAGAATGCTGTGATGCAAACAGGAAAACTTCTGTGGGCCAGTTTTTATTCCTCTCAGCAAGGCATCTGATATTTTAGTGGTGAAGACTTCTGCAGAGGCTGTATTTCGCCACCAGTTCACGTGTTCAAAGAGGGTTGTCAGAACCCTAGTAACAGCAGTTTCATTGACATGGAAAAGCAGAAGCCATTTGGAAGTGATCCAAGAAAGAGGCGGAAGAGAATGAAGCTGAGGCCGAAAGCCACTCAAATCGCCTGAGTAAAAAGATACAAGATGGTGTTTCTACACAGAGGAGTAGGAGCTGGGAGAGAAGGAAGAAGGGAAGGTGAAGGTACACTCTCCTCAACCTCTTTATCATCAGATTGTATTGGGTTCTTTATCTGCATTCACCGCAGACCAGGCCTCTCATCTTTCGGTTTGAAATCCAATGACCTCAACCTACATAGCAGGTCATCTAGTACCCATCAGCGACGTGCCAGCTCGCAGGTGGGGCCCCAGCACTGCTAAAGCGAAAGTCAATTTTCAAGCCATCCCTATACTTTAAGGACTGTGGTTTGGATGTTACAAAGCAGGTGCCTAAATGAATTGAGACAGAATCAGGAGACAAAAATATTATTTAGCTTATCCATTGTGTACTGTAGTGAATTTGATGCAACTAGCAAGGAGCATCCACAACGTATAATGTTGTTAGGAGGGAAAAGGAACTAACATTCTTAAGTGTTTAATATGTGCCTTGAGGGAGTGATTGTGCCTTATCACTGTGTCACACCACAGTGCCTGGCAGATTTAGGATTCCACAAATTAAATCTTGTATAAACAAATATGTGTCAGATACACCCCTGGAAACTTTGTATACATTATGTCATTAAATTCTCAAAACAACTCTGTAAGGGAAATCCTATCATCTCCATTCCACAGATGAGCAAACTGAATTCCAGAGAAATAAATTATACCTGGTAAAACGACCAATGTTTTAATTATTTACTGCTAAGTAACAGACTGCTCCAAAACTTAGTGGCTAAAGCCATTTATTCACCCATGACTCTACAAATCTGGCCTGGGCTCAATTGGGTAGTTCTTTTGGCTGATCTTGCCTGGAGTCTCCTATTCAGACTCAGTCATCTGGAAGCTTGACTGGGTCCAGAGCATCCAAGATGATTCAACTCATGTGTCTAGGGTCTCAACCAGGATGCTTAGAACATCCTAGGGGCTGGCCGGGCATGTCTTTCTTACAGGATATCCTGGAGGTGTTACATCTGTGAGCCTATCTACCTGATCTCTCTCTCCAGCAGGGTAATTGGACTTCCTGGATAACTACTCCAAGAGGGAGTGTTCCAGGAGTACAGCCTCAAAATGGCAGCACTTACCATGTCTTTGTCTGCATCATGCTTGGTGAGGTGCTATTAACCAAAGCAAGTCACATGGCCAAGTCCCAAGTCAGTGTGGGAGAGATTTACATAAGACCAGTCACACTGGTGGTATGGTTCATTGGGGAACATCAATATGATAGTTCTACTAAGTGGCAGGGCTAAGAATTAAATCAGATCCGCAATCAGATCAGATGAATCACAAACTCTTTCAATCATGAGTTCTATGGTGAGGGACTAAATAGTATTGTATTGCTATTGCCCACAAGCATCTTCCTCATTGCTTCAATTCCTCTAGTATATAACAGAAGCAGAGAAGAAATGGCATTGGAGCTGAACATTGGGGAATATGTAGTATTTCCACTGGCAGACGAGAAGAAGTCAAGGGAAGATACTTCAGGTAGAGGGAACAGGATAAGCCAAGGGGAGGGAAGTGAGGAACTTTAGGCTTCAGGGAATAGTAAGGAGCCACAGGGGGTTTCTGAGCAAGAGACTGTTGGTCAGATTTAAGATGAGGAACGCTGCTCTGGGGGCACCTGACTGGCTCAGTTGGTGAAGTGTGTGACTCTTGATCTTGGGGTTGTGAGTTTGAGCCCCACGTTGGGTGTAGAGATTACTTAAAAATTTAAAAAAAAACAAACTTTTTTTTTTTTTTTTTTTTTTTTTTTTTTTTTTTTTTAAGGAGCATTGCTTTGGCAGCACGATTCGGGTTGAACTCAATAGAGGGAGAGACTAGATGAAAATAAGGATGGCCAAAACCAGGGCAGCAGCAAAAAAAAAAAAAAAAAATCATTATCTTTTTGCCAGTCCAATTCTTGAACTTGCTTCAAAGTCCAAGCCCAAATTTTCTCAGATGCTACAGCCTACAGGGACCTTCCCTAACCCTGAATTCCTTTGATAGGCATGCGGTGATGTGTCCCTCAGTCTAGCACACAATCATGTATCACCTTATCTAGTACTCCAGTTATTTTATGTATCAGTGGCTTTTATCCATAACCAAGGTACAAGTTCCCAGAGAGCCATACAAACTGAAGTCCTGGCTGCCTAGTAGACTGGGAAGAACATTAACGCCGAGGAACCAGAGTCCAAATCTCCAGTCTTAACTTTTGCACCAAGTAGCTGTGAGACAAGAGCTTGGTGTCTTTGTGAAATGAAGAAGTTAGACTAGTTAACTTCCAAGAATTCCTCTAGCAAGAGACAGTGGAAAGAGAATGGAATTCAGAGTCGCATTCGTTCATTTGTGTCACGTTAGTGCTTGAGTGTCCACTATTTCCGTGGAATCCCGAGGTACTACGGACACAAACCTGGTCTGATTCGTCACTGTCATTCACTGTGTCCCTTGGGAAAATCATCTAAATTCACTGGGCCACAGTTTCCTTATTTGTAAAACGAAATCACAATTTTTACCTCCTAGTGGTCCTAAAGATTAAGCAACAAATCACATAGCACAAAGAGCTCAGCACTGCCCTCCCCCAACATACAGCTTTCACTTGTAGGCCACGATTGAGTAAAATAAACATTCACGGAACATCCTCCATACCAACTGCCTCAACAAGATGTTGTTTTGAACCCTGTAAACACACTGTGCTTCTTTATTGCATTTACATACGCTGCTGTCATATTGCCTCACCTTAGTGCAAACTCCTATCAGTTCCAACCACACTGCCTTCCAGAGGGTAGGTGGCTAGTACTTAACGGATCTAGAAGTGAGAAAACGCTTGTTTCAACTGCTCATTGCTTAAGCCTAAGGTACATGCCTGATCTTGTGCTGGGCATAGGGACTAGGGAGGTGTTAGGAAAAGGCCCCAGCTTTCCATGGAGCTCAAAAGCCTATGGAGGGCCTCATTACGGACAGGAAATGATTTAGGAACACTCAAGGACAATCAGTCCTGGTGAAGTGGGCAAGACTGATGTGAATTTGGAGTTTGGGTAGGAGCTGGTCAGATGGGGTCGGGCATCCAGGAAGAGTGCACCCTGCAAGGTACATACGCTTGAAATCAGAGTGCGACTCGGCAGTAATGAGCGGGCTGGGCATGAGGCCATCGGGTAGGCTGAGGCCAAGCTGTGGCAAACGCCAGGGAGCTCACCCGTGCTCAAACGGAGGCCGCTGCAGGCTGCAAGCTGAGCTATGAGCTGTTAAGGTCTGTGTTTAAAGAGAACTGGCAACCGCGCAGGGCGGCTCAGAAGCCTGCCGGGCCCGAGCTGTCGCCTTAGCCACGAATGCGCCTACACCGCACTTTCCTCTAACTGCTTCCTGTCCACCACTTTCTCGAGATTCCTCCTGCCCAGGTTTCCGCACCGCTTCTCCCTTCGGGGTCGTCTCCCCGCACGACCACGGTCCTCAAGCCTGTGGCGGCGGCGCGCGTGCGCGACTCTGCGGCGCAGGCGCACGGCGTTGCCGCAGCGCGGGGCGGGGGGAGAGGGGCTGGAGGGAAGAGGGTGTTAGTCCCAGGTCCCTACCAGGTGCCCGTAGACGTCGGCAGGCTGGAGGTAGAAGGTGGAGTTGAGCAGCTCTTCCAGCCTGCGCGGGACGTCGTTCTCCCGGTAGTACTCCATCGCCTGCTGCTTCAGCTTCTGCAGCTCCCTAGTGGTCCCACAGCTGCGGCCGCCGCCTTCTTCCCCCATGGTAGGAGATTTGAGGCTACAGCTGGGGTTAGCCTGGGGGCCCGCGAGCGTCCTGTGCGTCGCTAGGCAACGCAATGAGATTTCCCGACCCCAGATCTCGCGTGGCTTCTCGCCCGGGTTCTTGCCGCGGTCTTAGGTGCGCATGGCTCCTCCCGTGCTCCTCCCTCCTCTTCCTGAGGGATTGGGCCTGGGGCTAGGGCTCCTCCACTCCTGACGCTCGAGCAGTGGCGGCGTCGTTTCCCACCACTTTCCCCGACACTTTTCCTGATGGGGAAAGAGTTCACGATTTCTGCGGAGGCGTGGGAGCGTTAGTCCCGGCCTCCAGCGGGGGACCGGAGCCTCGGGTGGCGCGCTCTGGGCACCGGGCCTTCTTGCTTACCCTTCGCCCCCCCTCCCCCCGCACACTCCCTCGTCCCTCGCGGTGGGTGAGCTCCTCCGGGTGGCGCGGGCACACCTTGCCAGCCCACTCCTGGGGACGGATATATCCTCGCTGGCCCGTGGAGGTGCCAGGAATTCATTCATTCGCCCGTATTTAGCCGCCTGTCCCGAGGCCAGCAGCGTGCTGGCCGGGCACACTGGTGCGCAGGAGAGAACCGGATACGCGATCCCACCCCCTGTCCCCCTGCCCCTCCGCTGGGAAATGAGTGGGGTGAAATCACTGGAAGGGAAAACCAGTGTGGGCCGAAAAAAATCGGGGTAAACCCCGAATGGTTATGGCTTGGACAGGCCTAGGGGTGGGGAACGATACAGGCAAAACTTGAGAAGGAAAAGTGGGACTGTAAGACTGGCACTGGGTCATATACCTTCTCCAGTACCTTCAGAGGCTGCCTCAGTCCTGCCCTTTTAAATCCAACTGCCTACTTGGCTTCCTTACACCTGCCGGGTGTCTGCTCTAGGTACTTAGGTGGGAGTGGGCTGACACGGGCAGGTGTTCTTGTTCTACTCTTAACCTGTAAGTGTTCCTGACTTAAGTAGATCGCTTAAAACATCTCTGTTGTATTTGGCTTTTCTGGAAAACAGTCCGGTCTATTCTGCCTTCTTCACAAGTCCCTTAGGATAAAATGAGAAAGTGAGTGAGAAAACACTTTAAAATAAGATATTTTCAATAGAGGCAGGTAGATGTATAAAAATATGTGATTCTATAAAACTGATACAGAAACCCAGACATGTACCTCCTTCTGAGCTCCCTCGGTGTTGTCTCCAAATCTCAGATGGAACATCTCACTTGCTGGGATGTGACATCATCATGGGCCTGCCTTATCCTCCTTGCTAGGTGGAAATCCCTTCATGGTAGGAGCCCGGTCTGAGTACTCTTCACATACCCCTCAGAGCCCGGGCCTGCAGGGACAGAACGTGTGCTCTGCTGAATAGGTGTTGAATGAACCTTTATACGAAATAAGCCCGTGCTCTTGCTGCTGGTGTTTCCATCCCACCCGTGCGCCTCTCCTCCTATCCCCATGGATGGAAGGCACCCCTTTCTCTGGGACGCTCAGCCTTCAATGCCCGGCTGAGTCCCACCTCTGCAGAGACGTGGTGCTCCACATCAGCTCTCCTCGCTCAGCCCTCCCTTCCGAACTCCTTTCCCACTTGAAGTCTGGGCCACAAAGCTCAGCCTTCAGGGATGTCTTGACTCATTTGACACTTAAATGGAAGGTTGGAAGTGCCCTGGGCTGGGACCACCACCTTTGGAGTCTCCCCTCTGTAACCCACCAGCCTCTAGATTCCATGAGGACAGAGACTTGGTCTGTCTTGTTCACCATGGTGTCCCCAGTACATTACTTTACAGGTCTTTGCTCAGTAAATAGGTGTTGAGTGAATGAGTGGATTTTACATATAATAAATGCCTAATAAATACTTAAAATGTTTTGGAGTTGAGTGAATAATGAATACACTAGGCTGGCTAGAGCAAAGGATTGTTTTCAGTAATAAAGAGACATCAGGATAGAAAAGTAGCATGGGCAGGATGGAAATGGTGTTTTAGGAAGTTAGCTGGCAGCAGTGGGTAAGCTTGGTGTTAGTTGTACAGAAAGCAGGAGACACAGGTAGAAAATGATGCAGATGTGAGGGCCTAAAGCCCACTGATAGCACTGGCAAGAGGTGGATGACAGAGTTAATAGGAAGAAGGATGGGAATCATGGTGAGTGACTGGATGTGGGATTGGGGGACCAAAGATTATGCCTTTGAGGATGGCTCCTAGAGTTCTGTTACAGTCGATAGAAATGGGGTGGATGAGTGAGTGATGTGGTTTTGATGGAAGGAATAGGATGCATCTGGTTTTAGATGTGTGGAGCTTGTGGAGCATTGGTATCTCAGAGAGAAGGGAAGACTGACGATATGAAGATCACCCATCCACATGGCACTTAAAGTTGAAATAAGGATAGATGAATCTTCTGGAGGGAAAAGGGAAAACTCCTATAGAAGCAAGTACCTAAATATTGGGGAAGAAATATATTTAGGACATAGGAGGATAAGGTGCTCTAAGAGGCAGTGAGCCAAAAAAGAAAAAAAAAAAAGCTTAGGGAAAAAAAAACAACAATCTAAATCATGGAGTTTAAGACAGAGAGTTTTTGGAAAGTGTCAGATGTGCGTGTGTACATATGCATAAGAATAAATTCTGAAAGAATATACATTGGCATAGTAAGTGTATTGCCTTTGGGTAATGGGATCATTGGACATGTTAATTTTCTTTATTAGTAGTATCCGATTTTTCTAAAATGAATGTACTACTTGTATAACTTTGAAAAATTACATTAAGATATTTGAAGGAATAATATTAAGTCAAATTAAAGACTGAAATTAAAGGAGAATGAAAGACTGAAAAGATATTAGGGAGTCAGTTGTTCCTTTATAGAATCTTGCCATCCTCTTAAAAATAAAACTACATGTAGGCTAAATAAATAGCTAAAACTACCATCCCTGTTAACTTCTGTCATTCACTCAGTCAATAAATACTTATTGAATGCCTACCATGTGGCAGAGACTAGACACAAGGAAAACAGCAGTGAACAAAATAGGTAACATTTCTTCCCTTCACGGCACTTAAGTTCTCGTGGGCCTTGATCCTAGCACCTACATCCTGCTGAGCCATCAGGACAATAAACTGCATTAAGAGACGTGAAAGCATTTTGAAAAGTTGGTATGCTAGGCGTTTATTAACATTCTATTAGTGTTGACAGATCCAGAGTAAATAAAAATGACTATTCATGAATATTCCAATTTTCTGATTTTTTATAGATGTTAGAAGTACTGGGGTTTTAGCTGTAAACTACATTCACGTGTATGCGTATTGTATACATACTTATCACATTCCTTGTTTTAGTACCTTGGTAACCATATTTCCATTTCATATTGAGACTAAATGTCCAAGGGCACTCAGAACATCAGAGCTTGAAAGGCATTGAGTGCAGCTAACTCTAAGGGTAAAAACAGGGGAGTTGAAAGGAGGAAAAGAAGGGAAGGAAAGGGAAAGGAAAGACTCAGGAGATAAGGAAAATTCTGGAAGATATCCAGGGACAGAGGGTAGGACTATACCCTCTTCCTTTAGAGAGAGGACACTGCCATGACTACTGACATCCCACAGATGGGGTGCTCGCAGTGGATGGGTGTGGTAGGGGACAAGGGACATTTGGGAATTAGAAGACAGATTGGAGTCCCAGCTGTCCCCAAGATCTAGACCTCATCAATAAAATGAGTGGCTGGTCTAGATCAATGTTGCCTAAACTTTTTGAGTATGAAGACTCCTTTTTAACAACCAAAAAAATGGAAGAAACTACCACCCCCCCCACCCCCCCCACCATGTAACAGTGGTTATATACAGTGACTATGAATTCAATAGTATGTCTGGAGCATATGTGTTTCATTCACATAACCTCCATACATGTGACAAAGAATACATTTATAGGCAAGCTGCTCTCCAGGTCGGGCATGCGTCTGGTGCATATTTGGAATTGTGAGCTTTTTGCCTATAGTATGGGGGCTTCTCGGGGACCTTGACTGAGAGCCATTGAATCAGGTCTCTTCATCATAGACGTCTCCTATTTTGTAGCTTTGATTCAAGATAAAATATCAGGGCATACCAGTCTAGTCCTATCTGCTAAATGAAGACCCTTCATGGAGGAGATTAATCATGCTTCAGTCTGCATTTGAAAAAGAATTTCTAAGCTATGTCAGACATTTCCTAAATGAATGAGGATAAAGAAAAACATATTTGTTCATTTCCCCCTAATCCTTTCTAACACCTTTCTATAAATTGGAACTTGTTTGCCATGACTTTCATGTTCAGAAGTGATTATTTAGGTGTTATTTTGGGGTTGCTATCAAGTGCCTGTTAATTCTTGCCTGCATTTGCCATCTGTGTTGAATATCATTTTTCATAGGGAACTAATGAACATGATTGCAGGTGTCTTTAATCTTTAGAATCCTAGAAACTGGAGAGAGAATAGATGGAAATGTTGCCTTTTCCCCATCTAAAGATGGGAGTGATAATGTTACCCCTCCTGGCCCAGTTGTCAGGAATGAGGGTTGCCAAGCTAATTGCAATATAAATAGCTGTAAATTAAATGCGAAGGAATAAAAGTAGGAATGATTAGACTAATAATAAAATGTTTTTGTAATTTGATTTTTTTCACTACCAATGTCTCCTGGCAATAGTCATTACCTCTGGGCTAGTAATAGCAACAAAAACCCGGGCAGCAACTACCATTGATGGAGAACTTTTATATGCCTGAGGTTTTCCTTACATCATCCCATTGAATTCTGCAAAACAACCACAAGAGGTAAGGGGTTGGCCCAAGGTGATACAGTAAGCAAATAGTGGAGATGGAATTTGAACCAGCTGACCCCAGTGCCCATGCATTTCCTGCTGCGCTCTGCTGCCTCTCAAATCTAGAACTCTCTGTAGTTAGATTCCACGGTCTCATGTCAGCGATTGTTAGGCTCTTGGCCATCCTTTCTGGATAAGCCAGTTGAGCTGCTCACATTGAGGGCATGGAGAAAGGAGT